TGTATATATATATATATATATATATATATATATATATATATATATATATATATATATATATATACACACATTCATATATGTACATGACATGGTTATAGGGAGAGAAACCGACAGAGATCGAGACAGAAAAGACGGACAGTAAATTGAATTTATATAAGTTTGAAAGAGAAATTAATCACTTTTCACAAAATTCTTCCTCGTGTGGGTGACTATAGGAACCATTTTCCTTTACCGCGAAGGTAACATAGAAAACGGATAATGACTAATATCTTCTAACGTGAAGTCAGTATACATTTTTTTGTTTTTTGTTTTTTATGTTGAAGTGTTTTTCATTTCTTTGTTTTTTCCTCTTTTGGGAAGGGATATTAAAAAGTTCGAAATGGTAGATTACACGTCTCTAAATTCAGTCACCTTTTCCCGTGCACTTTGGAGGCTGTTAAGGGATGATGCCATTGACAAACAAAGCTTCCCCACAGCACTCCCCATGGTACCTTTCGGTTCCTTCCAGCGGTTCTCCTCGGCCTTTCCAAATTTTCACCTTCGGCTATCTCAGTGGTCTCCCTCGGCTCATTCAAACGCGATCCTTCGGTCCCTCCAGCGATGGCCCTTCAATCATTACAATAGTGTTCGTAGGCCCCCATCAGGTGGCCCCCATCGGTTCTTCCAAAGGCGAACCTTCTAATAATGCCCGTCAGCCCTTCTAGTAATACCCCTTCGGCCCTTCCAGTCCCCCCTCCCCCTACTTTCTATGTATCTCGGAATACAGATGAAGTTATGAGGCGTATAAAGCCAAAAACTTGTTGGGTGCGCATAATTATATGAACCACAAACGAGATAAAAAAAAACTTGAACGTTACACCGTTAAGCCATTGGGTCTTAATGGAAATAGTGCGGAGTCCGGAGGGAAAAGATTTGGAATATCACACGCCAAATGTCACTGTGAATATGAGTGTTGTTAAACAGACTAACAATAGGAGAGGGAGGACGTGGGGGCTAGGACATAGTGGTACAGTGACAGAGGTGGTAATACGATCAACAACCATTGCGTTGGGCCCTTCCGTGTATGTAAACTCTCTTTTAATTCAGTGACAATAAGTATATCACAAGTAGTTTTTGCCTTCATAACCTGTACTTGTTTTGCTTCGTGGTTAATCTAGAGCTGAATAATGACTATCCCTTTTTCAGACGCCCTAGACGACGAAAACTCCTTTCGTTGTTGTTCTATTTCGAAAATGGATAAGTAGAATTGAGTTTGTGATTAACCAAATAAAAGCAAAATGCGGAGCACATGGTGTCTATATATCTATATCCTTTCTTTATATTGGGCCATCTCTTTATATATATATATATATATATATATATATATATATATATATATATATATATATTTATATATATGTGTGTGTGTGTGTGTGTGTGCGTGTGTCTCAATCGCTTCTCATCTACCTTTCTCTTCGTGCGCGCGCGCGCACATACACACACACACACACACACACACACACACACACACACACACACACACACACACACACACACACACACACACACCAATATAAAGAAAGGATATAGATATATATCCTTATTTTTATCTTACGTTTTTTTTTTCTCTTCTCTTCTCTTTTCCTCTCTCTCTCTCTCTCTCTCTCTCTCTCTCTCTCTCTCTCTCTCTCTCTCTCTATCTATCTATCTATCTATCTATCTATCTCTCTCTCTGTTTGAGTGTGTGTGTGCTTGTGTTGTGTGTGTCTCACTCGCTTCTCATCTTCTCATCTAGAGAGAGAGAGAGAGAGAAGAGAAGAGAAGAGAGAAAAAAACGTATAGATGGACCAATAGAAAGAAAGACAGAAAAAGAAAAGAGAAAAATAGCGAGAGAGTGTAATAACTCCTAAACTTTCACTCCCGCCGACACGAATATGTGCTCCAAAGACTTCTCCATCTGCAACGAACTTTATTCATCCTCTTCGATTTCATAACTATTAATATTTGTTCCTGGAGAAGGGAAGATGGGAGGGAGGCAGAGGGGAGGAGACTTGAGGCCGAAGAGAGGAGATAAAGGAAAGAGGATACAGAATGGAAGAGGGAATAAGAGAACAAGAACAGGAACACCATAACAAAAAAACGTCGAAATATTAATGATAGTTGTGATGGTGATCGTGAATATTGATGATAACGATGATAGTGATGATGTTAATGATAATGATGATGACAATAGTAATAGTGATAATCCTAATACTTTATCAATGATAATAGTGATGATAATAAGGACACTAATAATAATAATGATAATAATAATAAAAATATAATAAGGACACTAATAATAATAATGATAATAATAACAAAAATAACAATTATGGTGAAATCCATGATATTGATAATAACAATTATTGCAAAGATAATGATAATAGTAAAAATAATGACAATGATAATAACTATATAAATGATGATAAGAAAATGACAATGATAATAACAATTGTATTAATAATGATGAAAATGATCATAA